CATTAGAAAGTATCAATCAATGACGGTCACGTGTTACACAAAAGACGAAAATCCTCCAATTGCAGGCTCTCTTGTTTAATTGACTGTGTATGTTTCATAGCTGTACAATTACTTGTCGATTTATGTACATCATATTCTCTTCACATATCAATCGATTTTTTTTGTAACATATAAGAAGAGAAAAATATAGTACCCATGTACTTTTCTATCTGATTGCTTGCTTTTTTTTGTTCGATATGGTGAAATGAAAGGAGATACATGCATCAGTGATCACTACCAATGACAGAAGTTAAAAACCTGTTCTCTTCATATTATTTTTCCTTTTTTAATATTCATTTCACTATACAGCTTGTGCAATCACTTTCTGTTTTTACATTGCAATCATTCTCATCATCGTTTCAAGGTAACTACCCATTTACTAAAAAGTTTAGTCTACACCATCAGATGTGCTACATTACTATTAATTTTCAAACACTGTTACTCGGTAAATGGTACTAGGTTTTACTACTCTAATTACGTATTAAATTTTGACTTATTAGAGATGTATTTAATAAACTTTAATGTTAGCATTGTAATATAAAGAAAATTTATTCTATCAATAATTAATTTTTTTTTTATTATGCTATAAGTGCGATTCGAAGATCCTGTCAGTACAGTTTTAATGTGAATAAATGAAAATTTTTAGAGGGAAATATAATTTAACACACGATTAAGAAAGATAGCAGCAGCGGAGAGGCAGAAGACAAGTATAAAGTTAACATAAAAGAGGCACAAGACATAGAAGACAACAACAAAAGAAAAGAACAAAAACGATATTAATAGTATGACAAGAGGAAGAATTGAATGAACACTTTAGAAATACGAACAGGAAAAAGGAAAAGAAAGACGAAGGGAAAGAGAGAAAACAATAATGATAATAATAATAACACAACGAAAGAAAAGCCAAGTCGACAAGATATTACTCGTATAAGAAGGTTTTAGGAAAGTTCTGAAGAAGAAGAACCTCATCCATTTCGAAGGAGGGAACGGAAGAGCTCAAAGGAACAGAGGCAAGCCAACTAATAACTCTTTCGATTATTGATTGATGAGCGATGAATCTCTTGGATCTTCTAATACACGAAATAGAAAATTCACCTTCGGACCAACTCTTCCTAAATTCGTTGAGGTTCGATTTTCCGATAAGAAGTTCACAATTGGTCGAGTCAGCTAAAGCTACCAAGTACTTGTTCCAGTAGGAAACACACCTGTCTTCTAGAGACATTTCATCAAGTGCATACGTAAAAAAATTTTCGTTCCATTGTAGACAGAACAAAACGCGACGAAGACAAGTAAAGTAAGAGTGCGAGAGGTCATTTCTTTGCTTTTCAGAGAAAAGTGGGAAGATGGGGTAGATCTCTGTAAATAACGGAAGTACAAAGGACGCGAATAAAGCTCGTCTTAGCTGCGGAGACGAGGAACCGAATAATTTAAAGGACTTTATTAAAGAAATACGTTGTCTTACTTTAGCCATCGTTTCTTTTATCATGTTTCCCCAACCTAAATTTGGTGAGATCCAATACCCCAGGTACTGGAATTTATCCACCCATTTAATCTTTTCTTTCTTTTCGTGGTTGAAAAATACATCGAATTTAGGTAAACCAATAGCGCGAGCGCTAAACAACGCCTCCGTCTTAGACAGGTTGATCGGTTGAGCCGATAATAAGGAATAGAATTCGAGGTGATCAAGGAATAATTTAATTCTTTTTTCTAAATCAAGACATTGATCAGTATACCGTATCCCTATCTGTCCGAAAATTACAGCAGCTAAATCGTCTGCAAAAAAGTGACTTGAGCACCAGGGAAGGAATTGACCCATATCACAATTGTATGTAATAAATAACGTAGGAGTTAAAACACTACCTTGAGGACCTCCTTTTCCAATCGAAATCCAGCGAGAACATTTACTATTAATTTCGATGTAGCATCTTCTGCCGAGAAGCCAAGCTTCAATCCAGTTTAGGTACGAAGGAGGAATACCTAATCTACGTAATTTCTCTAAACATCCGAGAAACCATAACTGATCGAATGCAGAACGAAAATCTACAAAGATAGTACACGCAGGAGCACTATTCGACATTAGACTATATATATCCTCTAAAAATAGTAATACGCGTGTCTGTAATCGAAATTTATCTCTAAACCCTGACTGATTGTCAGGTAGAATACCTCTTTTGGAAAGTACATCACGAAAACGTGTTAGAAAAGGTTTCTCTCCTACTTTCTGGAAAGAATCAAGGAGAGAAATAGGACGAGTTAGTGCTGGAGCACATATAGATTCCTTTTTAGCTAATAAGATAATTCGAGTGTCTTTCCAAGCATATGGTAAAATAGCTTTTTGGGAAGAGAAATTGTAGAGTTGTAAAAGTAAAGACCAATGACAAGAATCAAGAAAATTGAACATAAAGTTCGAAATACCGTGAGCGTCTAGAGATTTCTTTTTACGTATTGTAAGAACAGTGGAAAATAATTCTTCTTGTGTTACTTCAGGAATGGTTTCATCATGATTTTCGAATTCTGCTGGGGGAGAATCAGTACAAGGATGGGGTCTTATGGTATCTGGTTTCTTAAAAAAATCCTCGTAGAATTCAGCAACAAGTTCGCACATTTCTTTTGGATCTTTGATGATTTTCCCAGATATTATAACAAGACCATGAAGAGAAGAGGATGAAGGTTTAAGAAAACGTTTACATTTACACCAAAAGGAAACAGCCATTGGCGAAGAAGTATTACGCAGGTGGAGAGTTGTAGAAAGTTGAGAGGAAAGAAACGATTTTAGTTCGTTCTTTGCTATTTTTCTTAGATGTTGAACCTCGTTCTTTAGTTCCGAACTTTTTGATCTCAATTGACGAAAAGATAATGCTCTAACGTAGGACATGAACGATCTTAGTTCACCAGGAAGTGCTATGCGATATTTTTCGAGAGGAAAAAGAATTGTACAGCGAGCTGTTAGGAGGTGCAGAAATTTTATATAATCATCATACGTAGTATTTATATTCTCAAGATTCCATTTCTCGTTCCAGAAAGAAAATGTATATTCTGAAAAGAGTGAGAAAACCTTCCAATGGACACTTTTACCAATACCGTTCTGGGTATTCTTTGTGGGGATAATTGAAAGAATAGGTAGATGATCACTAGATGTGTTGCTAGTAGAAGTTTGAATATCAAGGCTCATACCACACGCAAAAGCATAATCGATCACTCTATTAGAACGTAGAGAGGTTGGCGTATTAGGTATATACGGGGCTAAAAAATTTTTATCAGCCCAACCAAGAAGTGTTTCAGATTTTTTATTATCTTGTCTTGGATCAACATTAAAATCGCCAAACGCCACACATTTTTTGTTCAGCAAAGAAGAGAGGTCATCCCATGTCCAACATTTGCTTTCGGGTGCGTAGACTCCTAGAATACGAAATTCTTCTTCTGTCTTGATATCAACAACACATACATTTGGTAGCTTACAATTCGCTCGACTAACATGAATACCCCATCTCACCAAGACTAAGACACCACCGTTCCTGTTCTCACCTTTCTGATAGAAGATCCTAAAGTTAGAGAACACCTTTTCGCAGAGAGAGATATCCGTAACACCAGTCTCTAAAAGAATAAGAGCATCAGGCTTGTAGGACGTCGTGAGCAAGAGAACTTCTTGCCATCTTAAATCGAATCCACGTACATTGAACGATCGAATGGGAAGAGAAGAGAGATTAATGTTGCTAACAATCGGGACGTACTTCTGCCAAATAGAGAAACACGAATGTAAAAATAAACTGCATTCCCACTCATTAAGAATACTAAAAAAAAGCTGTTAGCGCAATCCCTTGCGGGATTAAAAATGTGAAACACGATGGACCTACTGTTACTAATTAAATGGACTTCGTTTTCTTCTGTTTCTTTACGATAGATTTCTAGCCTATCGTTTGTTTTGATCTTCCAAAACTACAGTTTCTGTCTAGCAGTCTGTGAAGAATTTAGATATTCTCTGTCACGGTCTGTGATGATGTCTGGAGGTTCTCTGTCACGGTCTGTGATGGCCTCTGGAGTCTCTTTGTCACGGTCTGCGATGGGTTTGGAGCTTCTCTGTCACGGTCTGTAATGATTATTAATTTTCTCTGTCAAGGTCTGTGATGGTCTCTTAGGATTCTCTGTCACGGGCTGTGATGGTCTCTGGG